GTGGAGCTTTCACCAGATATTGATACAGACACGGAGAGTGTTTGTCAGAAAGTACGGCAACATGGTTTTGATGACTGACAGCAAATAGGACCCAAAACATTACACAAGGACCTATACTAGTATTTAAATTCCTTTAATACATTTATACTTTATATAAAATTTGTAAAAAGGTTAATAAAAGGTGAAATATTGGTCAGCTTTTTCAGGCATTTACTTTAATGCTACATCCTGAATCGCCTTGGAAGTCGCTGATAACATCTGTCAGATGGAATCAACATCATTTGGGTCCAGATAAAAGATTTGGTCGTTACTGGAAGTGGGCCTTGTATCCTTCTATCCTCCCTTGACGACGTTTGAACCCAGTGATCGGACGCGAAGAGCTTAACCGCAGCCATCAGCCGGCTTCCCACTAGTCCTGGTGTGATTTCCGATATTCAATAATTTAAGTCGATTAACATAGCGAGGTAGATAGGATGGGACTGCCAGGCAGTGAACACTGGCGATCCCCACTATCACCAGGCTTGCTCCCTCTGTAGCTCATCCTAGCTTCTTTGTGCGTTCAAGGATGCGAAGTCCAGTCCTCCTTGGTGGTAGCCTGAAATGATTCCTTTGTGAAGTGTACACATTTCCTCTTTGGTTCGTCTTGAAAGCCGTGGTCCCTGGAAGGCTCTTTCGGCCTCCTGTTTGGTATGCTCGACATCAACACCTGGGTAGTGAGAAGTTGCTCTTGCATCCTAATGATGCTGTCGAGATGGATACCGAGGTATCTCTAGACATACCCTTATACGACTCTTGTAGCGGTGGTGTAACGTGACAAAGCCCTGCGAAGAACCAATTTATACAAGCCCCAATGCCCATCGCGCGTCTGTTGATGGAATCCAGTTCCTTGATCCTGGACATCAGTAAAGAAACTTTCGTAGTTTGAGACTTGACTTGGCAATGTGCAGTCATGCGTCTGATAGATACGAAGCGTCAGCTGTTGAAGTGGCAATTTGCCTTCACTTTTCAACTTTCTAATGCTGTCGTTAGTATGGTTAATTATACTTCTGACGAAAAATAAGAGAACTGATGAAATGATAGTGAAGGTGTAATGACGACAAAGTCTGTAAAATATTTTTTGGCGTGAGATCTACATCTGGTGCGTCGACCACCATTATATCATTGTTTATAATTCTAAGAATACTACCTCTATTACATCATTGCCATAAATCCTTTATTTTGGCTGCAATCACAACCACACTTCTTTCCAAACATCATTCTACTAGAGACAGATGATTGGGGAGTTGGGAGGGAGTACATCTGATGAAATAGAGGTAGTATTCTTAGAATTATAAACAATGATTACTATTATTCGATAAGTTTTGCGAATACTCTCCCTCTATTACATCATTGCAAGAAAATACCAGAGGGAAGGTGGGGTCTGCCTCTAGTACACTCCCTGCATATATGACAGTAATTTCCTTTAATCTTTGTACTTTCTTCACATAACTGTTTCAAATCCCCAAGGGATGTTATGTTTTGAACCATTTCAAGAGGACATCGTGCAGAGGAATGATCAGTCAATTTGTGATCCCTTCTTTAGAACTACCGTTATATTGCTGATATCCCTATTTATGATAATCCCTATACTTGGATGCCATCATTTTATATATTTTACGTCACTTCCGGTCTTTACTATCAGTTCCTGACGTCACTTCCGCCCAAGGTCATTTTCTTCCTTTTGATCTCATTTCCGGTCCAAATGATGTCACATATGACGTCACTTTCGGTTATGGAGTCACTTCCAGTCATCCAGTTCACTCAATTGTAATGATATATGGTTTCACTAAGGATCAATCATCAGTGGAAGTAGTAGGTGACCATTCCTCGCCCCCTCTGTAATCTTTTCGGACGTCAGCATTGGAGATCAGTAGCTGCTAGATAGAGCTTGAGAGCTCTTATGGGGCACAGAAGTCGGGATGATCCTAGTACAGGAATGGTGTAATATCTGTGACCCAAAGGGACATGCGCAGCAGCAGCTTAGTTCTTAGCTACAAATTCTGGGAGAGAAGGTAAAGGTGATGGAAGACCAGTGAGGGGTATGAGTGAAACTCGAGTAATCCAGTGAGTGTAGCTACGAGACCATAGCAGCAGTAGCCATGGCTTATGGGAAGGCGTGGAATTCTGAGCCTGTGTATAACTTTGTGCAACTGTGGCCTTCATCCATTCTGCTAAAGTAGCCTTTTTGATATCCTTGTTCGAGTTGGTCTTACAGGATAGAAAGAGCCTCCTTCGATGGGGTCTATGTGGGTCTTTAGACGAGAGATGAACTTGAGAGCTCTGATGGGACACAAGAGTCTGTCTGGTTGATCCACTGTTGGTCCCAATGCCGGGATTGTGTAGTTCTTGGCTTTGATTTGTTCTTGGCTTTGATTGGTTCTTTGCTCAAATTCTGGGAGTGATTTTATCTTTATAGAAGTCCAATGTTGATCATGGGTAAGACTAGACTAGTCTAAGGCATGTAACTCCGAAACTCCTGCTGCTGTAACTATGGCTAGCAGAAATGATGTTTTCCTGGCTTTTTGAAGTAGGGTAGCCTTCGCCATGGGTTCGTAAGGTTCGGTTAACAGTGCCTATAACACCACAGACAAATTCCACTTGAGGAAGATACGAGGGGTCCTAATATCTTAGAAATGATTTAATTAATCTGTTGAGGATGGGATGGTTTCCAATAGATCATCCGTCATGTTGAAGTACAGAATGAAGGGCTGATCTTTAACCATCAATCGTAGATGAAGAAGGAAGTCCTCCATCATAGGGATTGATACAGCATTATCAATAATCCCTAGTCGTCTTCACCACTGGACAAACTTGTCCCATCTATTGTCACATAAAAGGGAGTATGAAGGTTGCCACGATCTTGCCACAGTATCTGATGCAAGCTCAGAGTAACCGGATGTTTGCATCTTCTGCGTGATAACGATTCTGTCGTAGCAGATCCCGACGAAGTGGTAACTTTATGGGTTCCTCCATTTGTAGCTTTAGTAGTCTGGGGAACCATGCCCTGCTGAGCCATACTGGGGCTATCAGTATTATTTCGCAATCCATCTACTCCATCTTGTGGATGACCTTGTCTTGAGACCATGGTGGGAATGGTAGCTGAATAGATTTGTCCAATCCATCGAAAGAGCATCAACCTGGTGAGCTCTTGGGTCTGGAACTGGACTGGCATAAACTGCAAGTTTGTGGCAGGTGGTGAATAGATCCATGTGTGGTATGTCCCGTATTTTGGTTATCCAAGTGAAGGACTGTGGATGTAATGTCCAATATGCCAATATTCTCCCCCCACTTGAGAGACTGTCGGCCAGTATGTTCAGTTTCCCAGGTACATGTCTCGCTTCCATCCGGCAGTTGAAGGAGTATGCCAAAAGCAAACAATCGTGAAGTCTCCATCATCAGGGAGTTGGATCTGGTTCCTTCCTGCTTCTGAATATGTACCACTACTGTGGTGTTGTCCGTGGCTATGAGAACTGATGATAGATGAAGGTGTGTTCTCCATTCCACGATGGCCGTAATATATGGCCTTCATTTCCATGCAGTTAAAATGAAAGTTTCTCTCCTCGGTGTTCAATGAGCCCCGTACTGTGAGATCGTCCATATGAGTTCCCCATCTCGAATCTGACGCCTCTGTGAATAGATGATGTTCTAGCATCAGATAAGTCATCCTCTGGTGACCATGGTTCCGGTATGATATGTCTCTATGATATGTGAGACTTGTTGCTCGTTGGTAACGGTAGCCATGCCGTGGCTGTCTTCTCGGCTGGCTGGCTGGCTGGCTGGCTGGCTGGGTAATCCCGTGGAGTCTGTACGGCTGGCTTAGGTCCCGTTGGACAGTCAAACAGTAAGCCATGGTCGGTAGGCTTGGGTCAGCAGCAGCGTTGGAGCCAATAGACGGGATTTAAAAAGTGATGTCATCTCTGATTTCTGCTGACTAAATAATTGCTCCTGCAGTGTGGCAGGAAACTCTGGATGTGCCGGATGATGGGTAAGGTTGTTTATCAGTCTGGGAGATATCATTATCAACTTTTCTCTAAGCTTCGTAAATGCTTTCTTGGAGAGAGGGAGACAGAGCAGACAGCGATCATCCTTTGTACAGGTGGATTCTCTGCACCTCGAACAGTTTACGTGAGGGTCGCCTGAGATAATAAATTGGCCACATTTGTGACAAGCTGACTGAGGAGGGGACCCCTGTTGAAATTCTGCAAGTTTAGTATGGTGTGATTGCAGCCAAAATAAAGGATTTCTGGCAATGATGTAATAGGGGTAGAGTGTTTACATGTTTAAATGAGTGAATGTCCTTGAGAGTGACATCTTACAGACATTCACAAAGTGTTTACACTGTGGTTTGGGTGGTAGCCTAGTGGTTGAAACATTTGCTCGTCTGAAGCAAGGTCCCGGTATTGTTTCTCCATATGCATGGAATGTGTCAAGCCCATTTCTGGTGTCCCTTGCTGTGATATTGCTAGACTTTTCTTAAATGTGGAGTTAAACCATATTCACTCATTCACTCCATGTAACTACTCAATACCTTGATCTTAGACAGAAATCAACCAAAATCATGTATTCCAGACACAGAGATCACAAATATGAAAACTGGACACATTTTTGCATAAAGTTATCTTTATGTCTAATATTATTTATGCATATGTCATACAAATACTTGATGACTTTGACCTTCAATTTATAGCAAACATAAAAATGCCAGAAAATAAACCCATTGAATACAGTAATTAATATTACCCACAAGTGTAATAAGAACTTAAGGAAACCCCATCTCATGGCAATAAGACCAAGAGCAGGATCGGTGGTGAAAGTCCAACTCATCAGGCAGTGTGAATAACCTGAACAGTGTTTTTGACCTTTGTTGATCTTTATCCAAACCTGACCAAAGCAATTCCGTTCCACTCTAGTGATTGTGAAATCAGGCTGTAAGAATGCCAGTTAAAAGACAAAGACTTTACTTTCAATTTTACTAATTTTATTAGACAATATCAGCATTTTATAATCAATTATGCATGCAACAGATTTCTCTGATATGCATTATATGTAACTTCCATAATTTACATGCACAGACAGCATATAAGCCGTTACATGTAGCACCAGGTCAAAGTTGTCATCATCAGCTTCTCACTGCACTCTACTTACAAAATGGTATTGCATCAATTCCAATGATGTCATCTTAGATTTCATGATACTATAACTTCAACTAACTTCTAATCATAAATATGCATGAAATGTTTCTGCAAAGCTTTCATCATGGAAAATTAGAAAATAGTGTTTGAGAGAAGCTGAATAATTTGAACAACTTTGCATTCTAGGTGTTGCACAACAATATATAGTATGTACATGTTGTCAACTGTTGTCCTACATAGGCATATATACAAGCTAAGTACAAACTGACGCCCCTGGGCATCAGGTACCGGTCAGCATATGGCCAGGGGCACATGACAACAGCTTACGAAGCCCACGGACACTGGGTGCCAGTGAGCTCCAACATGTACACCAGAGAAGCCAGATAGATACACTCATAAGGCAAACATCAGTAGGACAGATGAGTAGTGTAGAAATCACAGTAAGAATATGCATAGCTCTGAGTACCAACAAACTGGGGGTAAATATTGTACATTTAAACAAGATAAAAAGTGTTTGATTGCATTCAATTCAAATTTGCCATCAAGATTTCCTGTAACTTGAGAGTCTTTGTACACAACATGAACAACTAAACTCTAGGTCATATAGGCAGTCAACTTCCGGTATGCATCAAATGCATGATGTCCACTGAAAAGGACAAGAATGAATCTTCATTTTAACAACAAAGTTGTCATTATTTCATTGGACATCAACATGATAATCCCAAAGCTCAGCCTCTGATAATGTGGTGCTCCAGTAGATAAACTGACATTCCGGCTAGATGATCTAGCTGACTGGGTATTGAAATGGCACTATGTAACTGTACAAAACACTCATACACACACTCACATGCAGACAGGCACTCCATACTGCACAGACATACAGATGTAAGTGTATGAACTCATAAAAAACTACTTAAAGTCACCTTTGCCTTAAGTGGACTAGTGCATCAACATAGGCAGGAGGGACTGTCTTCCAGTACTGACACTGCATCAACACAGGCAGGGGGGACTGTCTTCAAGTACTGGCACTGCATCAACACAGGCAGGAGGGACTGTCTTCCAGTACTGACACTGCATCAACACAGGCAGGAGGGACTGTCTTCCAGTACTGACACTGCATCAACACAGGTTGGAGGGACTGTCTTCCAGTACTGACACTGCATCAACACAGGCGGGAGGGATGGTCTTCCAGTACTGACACTGCATCAACACAGGCAGGAGCGACTGTCTTCCAGTACTGACACTGCATCAACACAGGCGGGAGGGACTGTCTTCCAGTACTGACACTGCATCAACACAGGCGGAAGGGATGGTCTTCCAGTACTGGCACTGCATCAACACAGGCGGGAGGGATGGTCTTCCAGTACTGACACTGCATCAACACAGGTGGGAGGGACTGTCTTCCAGTACTGACACTGCATCAACACAGGCGGGAGGGACTGTCTTCCAGTACTGACACTGCATCAACTCAGGCGGGAGGGATGGTCTTCCAGTACTGGCACTGCATCAACACAGGCGGGAGGGACTGTCTTCCAGTACTGGCACTGCATCAACACAGGCGGGAGGGACTGTCTTCCAGTACTGACACTGCATCAACACAGGCGGGAGGGACTATCTTCCAGTACTGACACTGCATCAACACAGGTTGGAGGGACTGTCTTCCAGTACTGACACTGCATCAACACAGGCGGGAGGGATGGTCTTCCAGTACTGACACTGCATCAACACAGGCGGGAGGGACTGTCTTCCAGTACTGACACTGCATCAACACAGGCGGGAGGGATGGTCTTCCAGTACTGACACTGCATCAACACAGGCAGGAGGGACTGTCTTCCAGTACTGACACTGCATCAACACAGGCAGGAGGGACTGTCTTCCAGTACTGACACTGCATCAACACAGGCGGGAGGGACTGTCTTCCAGTACTGACACTGCATCAACACAGGCAGGAGGGACTGTCTTCCAGTACTGACACTGCATCAACATAGGCAGGAGGGACTGTCTTCCAGTACTGACACTGCATCAACACAGGCAGGAGGGACTGTCTTCCAGTACTGACACTGCATCAACACAGGCGGGAGGGACTGTCTTCCAGTACTGACACTGCATCAACACAGGCAGGAGGGACTGTCTTCCAGTACTGACACTGCATCAACACAGGTGGGAGGGACTGTCTTCCAGTACTGACACTGCATCAACACAGGCGGGAGGGACTGTCTTCCAGTACTGACACTGCATCAACATAGGCAGGAGGGACTGTCTTCCAGTACTGACACTGCATCAACACAGGCAGGAGGGACTGTCTTCCAGTACTGACACTGCATCAACACAGGCAGGAGGGACTGTCTTCCAGTACTGACACTGCATCAACACAGGCGGGAGGGACTGTCTTCCAGTACTGACACTGCATCAACACAGGCAGGAGGGACTGTCTTCCAGTACTGACACTGCATCAACACAGGCAGGAGGGACTGTCTTCCAGTACTGACACTGCATCAACACAGGCAGGAGGGACTGTCTTCAAGTACTGACACTGCATCAACACAGGCAGGAGGGACTGTCTTCATAGACAGAAAGGGCTCTTAGTCATTCTGATCCAGGTAAATTTCTTTCAGCTATCACCACTGTCCTCAAAAGGCACTTACACCTCCCAGGCACCCCCAAAACGTCTTTTGATTGTCTTTATGCAATAATTTTGGTGACCACTAAGAATAACAATACAACTTACAGTTGTTGCAATTTCAACACATTCTTTCATCTGCCATCCAAACTGTCTCTCATGATTCACCACGCTCACACATGCTTAAGTAAAGATTAATTTGCTACAAAAACTCCATCTAGCAAAAACTGATGTAAAGATTGTTTGCAATCTAAGATTGCCTTAAGGCTACAATCTTTGGTCTTTAGGCTGATCTACAAAGAGTATAGTATTATGCTGTTACTCACAAGTTAGACTTGAATAAAATAAATAGACAACAGCTAGTCAGGACAAAACAAAGTAACTGCAAAATTAACAACAATACTGATCTATATATCACAGGAACTGTGAATAGCATCAATTAAAACTGCTCCAACACTTGTTCAAGGGTGATGTGGAAATCATCTCAAATTCTCAAAATGTCATTATTTTTATATAAAAATGTTTTGTTTTTGGCATGTTAAACCATCATCATACTTCCCATGAACTGAAATTAGTGTGAGTTTTAACTGAATTCCATGGCCAAACAAACAAAACAAACACTGAAGCTTCTATGTATAATGCAACAAATATTGGCCCAAAGTTTATCTTTGGTATTGCTACCAAGCTAGTGACAGCCAGCCGTACCCATGACTCTAAGGCATAGGGCAGGGGTGGGAGGCATGTCTTCTACTTAAACTGCATCATACAAAAGTCAACAAATCTGATAGCACCGAGTCAATGTTCAGCAAGTTGAAGACATCTGGTTGGGGCCAGTGGCACTTTATAACACTATGTTATTGCATCGTTTACTGAGAACTGGTCACGTTTGGCATAGCACACCAGTGTCTTAACACATCAACTGGTATCAGTTGTGCCAGAAACAACAGAACCATTCCCAATCTGGTTGTATTCCAATGACGAAATAATTTGTACAATCATGTATCAGCATCATTGTATCATCACAATCAAACAATGACTGACTCTGGGAGCTGTGTCGGTCAGTCAGCACACATCTCTGTGCACATTGGTTCACCTTATATTTCTGAAGTCCTCTGATCAGGAATGTATCCATTGTGTGACATTAGACTATTAAAACGGTTGCACTCCGTCACAGATGGTGTGCCATTTTTTACATTGTTCCCTATGTACAATGGCATGGCATTATGATTTCCAGGCTTAAGGTTCCCAGTTGAGGAACCTTGTGATGTGGCACTTTTTGTAGAATTTGAACTGGCTACTGAACCTGGTGGTGAGATTTTGTTTTGAGAATTCTCCAACTTATTGTAGGGCGGTGGACCATTCCTGGCGTTGTGAGGTGGCAACAGAGGCTGCATGTGGCTTGGCAGGTTAGGGTGGTGCATGACCATTTGGGGTGGTTGAGCAATCGGGTGGTACATGGGGTCTGAAGTGTTGCTGCTGCCAGTCAACCCAGTAACAGCGGTGGTGTTGCTCGGTCCAGTGCTGCTATGGTGGCTGGGCTGGCTGTGGGAACTCTGGTGAGTACTGCTTGAGTGTGCCGAGTGACTCTGAGACAGGCTCCAGTGCGGATTCTGGCCAGTCATTATTTCCCCCTTCCAGGCTCTCAGACGTGCATGTATTTCTCTGAAAGATGGTCTTCTTGCTGGAGTTTCATGCCAACATTCCACCATCAAGCCATATATGCGTGCTGGACAATCTTCAGGACATCCTAGAATCTGTCTTGAACGGATCATCTCAATCACCTCTTGGTTAGAGTACCCGAAGTATGGTTGAAGGCCATAGCTGAAGACTTCCCACAAGACAACCCCAAATGCCCAAACATCACTATCAGTTGTGAATTTACCATACATGATAGACTCTGGTGGCATCCAGCGAACAGGCAATAGAGATTTACTCTGGACACGGTAGTAATCAGAGGAGTAAACATCTCGTGATAACCCAAAATCTGAGATTTTGACTGTGAGGTTTTCTCCCACCAGGATGTTTCTGGCTGCTAGGTCTCGGTGGACGAAGTGGTGGCTGGCCAGATACTCCATGCCCGCAGCTATCTGCAGTGACATGAACAGCATGTCAGGATACTCCAGCAACTTAGCTGCCCCCTCATCATCCTTTCCAGATATGTCTGAGTGGGGTGAATGCATCAGGAGATACTCATGTAGGTCTCCATGTGTCATATACTCAAACAACATGCACATTGGCTCCTGTTTCATACATACACCTAGCAGACACACAATATTTGGGTGTCTCATTTCTGACATCAGGTCAACTTCGCGCCGAAAGTCATTTTGAGTTTTTGGTGTGGCAGTATCTTTCAAGGTTTTGATGGCAACCTTGCTGACAGTGTTGTCTCCATACAATCCCAATAGCTCTCCTTTATAAACTTTGCCAAAAGCACCTTCGCCCAATTCTTGTAGAAAGCGTATGTTGCCCATTGGGAACTCTCTAGCACGCGAGCTTGGTTTGGGGTTGAGGGGACTCATCTCCATGGGAACATTTGGTCGACTTGCAGCCTTGCCCTTGCCATTTTGTCTGCTCCTTGATTGCTGGCAGAAGCAGACAAGGGCGAGGAGCAAGGCAAGAGCTAGTGGGACTGTGATACCAGGAACCAAGATGAACATGAGTTTGTTGCCCTGCTCTTCTCCCCCTGCTGATCCACTAGTGCCACCAACTGAAACACATACAAACATACAGTGAAACACTGAAATACACAGCAGAATATATTCAAACCCATATCAACTATAATAAAATGATCAGTATAAGATTAGATTTCCAAGTAGTTTTGTTCTAATTCAGTTCTAATATGGGAAAATGAATCTTCAAAATGGCATTCAGATGTTAAAGGTATCTGCAACATGTCTATCAGCATAAATCAGTCATCCTAACACTAATGCCAGGAACCAGTCCTTTGGACTTCACTGAAGTGGGACACACAACTTATGTTATGTGACATACTACTAAGTAAGTATTGGGTAGGCATACATAATCAAGGATGTCTCGATGAATAAGGGTAGACATGTTCAGATGTGTGTTAAATAATACATACTGTGTGATTGCAAGAAACTGAAATACACCTCATTCAATGTTCAGAATATTTTCGATATCATAGGTCAATTTATTCAGATAAAGTATATTAAGGGCATACTTGAATTAATGCCTCAATAATATCATAAACAGAGTTCACTTGATTTTTACTTGAATATTTGCAAATTTAGATTACAAAGGCCACAATAAAGGGGTTAACAAGTATATGCAGACATGAAATTTCAAGGTAGACACAATTTTATGGATAACAACTCCTTTAATACTGTTAAAAGCGACGTTTCGTTTAAGATCCTTACATTGTACAGAATATATATAGTAGGTGGAGGATTACAATGTCCCTCATTCAGTCCTGCCTGACAACGGTATAAGGATCTATACCGAAACGTTGCTTTTAACTGTATTAAAGAAGTTGTTATCCATAAAATTGTGTCTACCTTGTCACCCGTCAACTTCTAAGTAATGCCTATCAAACAATTTATAGACATGAAATTTAATCAACATTCTTAACACCACATACATACAGAAATTTGCACTCAGAAATAACTGAGTAATAGGAAAAACAGTATTTTCAATATGGCTGCCAGAATCTGTAATTTTTGTAACTCAGGCCATAAATTTAGCAGTATATAGCAGAGTGTTTGCAGGGATAATCCCTGCACAGTTTCAGCATCATAGAGCTTGTGGTTTGATGACAGCTTTCTCGCCAAACACACCTGTAGTCTTTACTAATGAGAGCTAAACGAACAACTGTCTGTTGAAAGCAAATGGAAATCTGTTTTGTAGTCTCAACCTTTAAATCAAGCTCTTAAAGAATGGACTACCTTTTGAAAAAACAAAATGATCAGGAGATGAAAGGTTACACAACGCTGACTCAGCTGAGGTGACTGTGGCTGTAGGTATACTCACCACACTTAGGGATGGCACACACTTCCTTCTGAACATGGCCATTTGTTGTGAAGCACCAAGGGCCTTCCTCTTGGTTGCCAGGGTTGCGACAATAATTATGAGAACCTGAAAAAATATAATTTTCATAACAAAAAAATGCTAAGATATCTGAAAGTGTAGCAATTCATTTGCAAGTCATTAGTCTATCAGGCGACAGCTGATATCACCACTATCGATGTTCATCTTTGATCCCTATGTAATTCATTATAACTAGCTGTGCAAAAAACAACTTATAAGCACTTCATGTTTAACATACTAGACCTACACTACACCAAAAAGCAGTTGTCATTGTTAATAAATCAAATGATACCACCTCTATTACATCACTGCCATGAATACTACATTGTGGCTAACATTACGCTACATAAATCTTCAGATTTTGAACAGAAGTCATCTACACTGTCAAAGCACCCTTGCATGTCAAAGGCAAGAAAACCTCATTTCTTTCCAACATCAACCACAATAGATGCAGATTATTGGGTGGTGGGAGGGATTACTCCTGAATAACCAGTAATAAATACTGTTTGATAATTCTCGCAAATATCCTACCTCTATCACATCATTGCCAAAATACATCCGCGGGATCGGTAGGTTCTGACATTGAGTAAACCCTGAATAATTAACAGTCTAATGTAGTACCTAATTGTTCCAAACAACCTTTTTCTAGTTGTTTAACAATCGATAGGTGTACATAAATCTGAATCACCTCAAAAGGCCTGATCCCAGGATTATTGCATAGGATATATATAAGTAGCTGTTAAACTTCCATCAAACTACTGTTACATTTGCAAACCTGTTTACCCCTACTTGCCATACCAGTAGTTCACTTTGAATCTGGCAGAAATTTCAGATATTTGTCTGTAGTCAGTTTTACTAGCATGCAAGTAGGTGAAGTCGTTCTCAAACATGTTACAATAAATGACTGACTGTCCCTTCTTTGAGGCCATAAGACAAAGTAGCCATGTGGCTACAAATACTTTTTCTAGGTTGTCTCTGGTAAAATCAAGAAGTCAAGCCAATATAGTACCCAAAAACAAGTGAAATTATCTTGTAAAAGCATATTTTAAAGCATTTCATAAACCACCCTTATTGGATTTCCTTTCAATTATCTGGACAAGGTAAGTGTTTCTACCTCAAGAATGTTTTAGCCATACTTTCCTTACTAAAATTGGAACTACCCATTACGAAGCGTATCTTGCTGGCATAATAATGCAGGTTGTGCAGAACAATACAAGTCATTATCTATTATTTTAGCTGCACATGTCATTCCTTTTGGTAAATTTCTTTTCACTAGAACTGATTTTGATGTATTTTTGACTATCACTGGCATGGACGGCTTCTCTGTGTCTTCATTTGTGTCCTCGGCTTGTGAAAATCTTATGCTGACAGACAAGTACTGCCATTTCAACCTATAGCATGGTTTCTGTAACTACCGGGTACTGCCCCAAACCAAGCCTAGATGGTTTCTCTCTCAAACTCAGCTGTTGGGCCAAGAAGTCATCTTCCGGACAGAACAGAACTGTACATGCTCTGCCTACCTAACACGATCTACATTGCATGTTTCAGAGTTTGAAAAAAGATTAGAAAAGTAGTTGTTTATGATCCATAGTGTAAAAAAAGATTTACTGAGTGTTATGCACAGTAAAAAACACAGATCATATCCCTTCAGCAAATTCACGTAAACAAACAGGAATAACAAACTTGATAAAAATATGAAGTTTGATATAAAACATCACTAGACATGATGATTTACCATTTAAATTGTCTTTCCTGCTCTCCAAGGCATTGTTTTACCGGTATATGCAGAGATTAAGTTTACTGTGTGTATTTTCTGGAAATAGCAATCAGTTAAAAAGTACTGAATGATACAACTTCGAAGAATTTTGATGCAATGGTCTGAAGATATTGTATCTGAAATTCATCAGGAATAATAATCTCCAAAATTGTGTTATTTAATTGCAGCTTTTACTTTGGTACAGCTAATTGCTCTTGCGGGATATTTTTTTTCACGTATGGAACAATTTGACCAGTCACTGTAGTGACTTCCCACTACATATATTTCGATCTTGAAAACGTTATGTTATAGTCAAATTGCCACAATAAAATTTTTTAACAAGTCAAAGTATGGCATTTATGATACATGTATCCAATTTCTGACAACTAAAGTTTGTTTCAAGGCGGCAATAGCGGTAATCTGACCGTGGTTGCTGTAAATAACGGTGAGTTGTGCGATCTACTGATCACTTTACACACGTTTAGCTAAAATATATTTTTATATCACTATTTTTTTACCGCTAAGGTTGTAGACCTAGATCTATCCACAATTATATGTAGTACATGTGACTTCATGTTTACACTGACAGCCATACAACAGCCAGCTGTATCGCAGAATAAACTTATGCTCAACAGGATTTTTTTTTTGTAGTTTCTGTACAACAATGTATTCAGATAGTTTCCTCATAAGATGAGAAAGCTCTGTTAAGAACTACCTCAGTAAGTCAGTCACAATGATACTATGTCGTAATACATGTACATCGAGTACACAATGCCAAAATGGCTGACACAATAAACGTGATGGGAGAGATTTCCGAAGTTTAATTAACCTGTGGCTATTACAAGTGTTAGTCATCACTGACTGATTGTATTGATGTGTCAAATAGATACTAAGGTAAATTCAGATTGCTGTACACTGTCACTGTAGTCTAGACACAAATCAAGCTGATAATATGATAGTTTGGATGTGCTTTTCTTCGTTTTGTTCTGTACGGTGGGTTGTAGCGAGGATGTCCTTTAACGGGCATGCAAACAAACTTTCTGACTTATCCCAATGTATGCTAAACAAATGATGAGAAACAATGCTTCTGTATTTTTACGTGCTAGGGAATTCCCAGGGGTTTGCCCAGGGAAGTGGAAGTAGTCCCTCAGTGTTTACGTCATGTCAAGAATGCAGTATCGTGAAAAGCGTTTGAATGTCACAATGTGTCATTCACACATCTATGAACTTCAGTTTCGTGACCGACCTCTTGTTCAAGGGAACAGCCATATATCGTGTAAACTTCACATTAAAAAAATATTATTGAATGAAATTTTGAATTAAGTTAATATATTATATTACAAACATAAGTTCAGATATACAACAAACACATTTTTATTTAAGCAATAAACGACGAGTGGGAGTTTTTTATCGTAGAAAAAAACACTGCTGTGGTTTATTGTATGATAAACGACCACAAGTCATGTATTTCGTATGCGATTTATTCACAGGTGGGTATTTCCCGCATATTCTCACAATCCTCAAGTCAGTTACATGTACCTTTTCTCCTAATACAGATTATCATATCTCACCCACTTTTAGATGTGATCGTTTAGCCACAGCACATGGGGAACAATTCACTTGACACTTCCATCTCAAAAATACTGTTGTCCAATATGTGACATCATCAAGTTGCGAGCAGATATTCAATTCTCCAGAAATTACGCCATGATAAAACAATGTTTTATCGTGAAATAAACCATGCTTTGTTATTCATTGCTCTTTGCGATTTATGGCATTGCTATTTTATATAACCAAAGAGTATAATAACAGGATTAAATTGCATACTTCAGTTTGGATTTGTTGACATGGTATTTCCAGTGTTACATGTGATCAGTGATCCAGTGATAGGGATAAAACATTGTGTCAGTGTAAAACTGGAGTTTATTAAAATGTAAGTAAATTTGGGAGCCATGCGCATGCCATAACCGAGCAAGCACTATATTGAAGGGCACAAGAGAGAGTGAACACTGTAGTTGCATCAACAAGCTCATGGATATTTGCAAGGGTGCCTCTGTCTGGTATGGAACATCAGGGTCAGTTGGTGTCTTGGGAGTGTCAGCTGAGGAAGTACAGTTCTCACTCACAGATGTAGACAAACTCACTACTGTCCTTTTAGCATCTTCCCTCTTCTTAAAATGATTCCCAGATTCCATGAGTTCAATGAAAACATCAGATATCTGTCCTCTTCTGTACAAGAAATAGTACAGTACCTCCAGCATGATAGGCAGATGATGGGCAAGAAGTCATGAAGGGACCAAAACTGCTATGCAAGAAGAAGTAAGGTTTTCCTGCCATGCACATGCATGGGTGCTTTGGAAGGTGGGATACTATCACAGGCACAACTGATTATGAACAGTTGACAGTGAAGTGGACTTCTGTTAAAAATCTGAATTTTTTATAGTGTGATGTTAGACAAAATGGGGGATTTATCCCAATGATGTAATAGAGGTAGAGTATTTGCTTGTATTATTCCTCATTCAGTGACATACTCACCAACAATCGGGTATCGGGAGGATTTGAAGAAGTGTTGATGGGGTGTGTCCGAGTTCCACTTCTGGCAAGTGAAGCCACTCTTTGTTTTGCTCACATTTCCCTCATATGTTGTCCCAGTGCCATTGTAACAATTGTGCTCTGTAATTATAACGACAAACTTGTTATTATGCACAGTATTTTCATGGCTGCAAATTGTGGGATAAAGTTGGAAAATACACTACATAGTAATAAGAAACTATAAGAACAATTAATTTAGGCTAGACAATATCAACAATATATCAATATATGACATGATTGCTGGGATCATCCATACAAACTAAATGCAACAATGATTGTAGTGATATCAAGAATATGGTTTCACCACTTGTAGACTATTATATATTCACAATTAATCACCATAAAAGGGGCATCACTGATGCATTATGTGTTCACAGTTTTATCTGGAACCAAATCATGCAACATTTTCAATCTCATTAAAATCAGATCTTAGGTTTCGCTACCGCAAAACAAAGATCTGAGGACATCCCATTATGGGTCTCGTCAGAACGACCTTTCACGAACTTTGACCGATCAATGAAATGACTGACAAGAAATTTACATTAGCCAATCAGAAGGCAGCTTTCTCAAGCTATACGACACTATTTTCATACTGGCGACTATGCTTCAAAACATATTTTGATGTATTCTCGATTAAAAAATTTAAAACTGTTAAAAAGAACATTCTGGAATGGCTTATAGATGGACTAGATTATATGGATATAATCATAAATCCCGTAACTGTCGTTTGGAATACCTTCTGTTAAATATTTCGAGGTTGCATGATTAGATTTTAATGAGATTGAGTAATTTTAGGTGAAACACTTTTTACAAATCCAAGATGACCATGCTAGTAATATACTTATGTAGGTCTGACTGACATAATGTCAAAAGATCTTGGATGCAACCTAGTTAAGAATTGGATGCAAGTGCAACTGTTGAGTGGCTGTGTCCTGTCATACTACTCACTCTTATTGTAGCCCTCTGTGATGCTGATGCCGACGCGAATACAGTTATCTCCCTCCGGTGTGCCAGGGCCTGCCAACTTCTTGCAGTCTGGCAGTAGTGAGTTGCCTGAAACACAGAGACACTAAAAGGTCACTTGCAACCAAAATAAGAAATATCCAACAGCATTATTGATGCCTCAAAGATTTAACACCATCTAAGTTCATGTTGTTTGACTAGAATATACTTAAGATTGACGCCTCTAGGATTTCCACTTCAATATTTCATGGGTTTGTATACATTACTTTCCTCCTTCACAAATGCTTTGAAGTGTTGTGGTGATGCGTGTCTATCCTTAGTCAGTGAATGAAATAAAGCTGATTATAACACACACAAGTGAAATGTGCATGCATTTTAAGCCCAACCCTGTGCATGAAGTTTGTGCAAACCCTGTCTCTGACCGACATTGAAGCAACGTGTGGAATAGATGGCCACAGTGGCCCATGTTGCAGGAGAAATATTGCTGGTTGGAAGATGTAACCTGAGCACTCATTGGTCAGATCACTGGTTTGCCGCTGCTGGAAACAGGCTGTGGCTTGTTTTGTTCATTCAATATACTGTAAATCTTGAATTTAACGCAAGCTGGAATTAAATGCGAAAAATGCGAGTGGTCTATGTTCGCATTAATGAAACTTCGCATTTATGTCTCCAAAATGACTATCAACAATAAGACGGCCTCACTGCACACTTTGGATAGCGGAAATACCAACTTACATATAAACACAAACATGGTTTATTGAACACTTACTTACTTACTTACTTTGGAGATTTAACGTGCGCTTTCCGACTGATGCGTATTTCGCACACGGGCCCGGCCAGGCCATTTAATGTGTTTCCGAAAGGGGCGAAAGTGGTCTGTGCAACCCAAGAGGGGGGTTTTAGGGGTTGCTTATATAGAATTTGGGAATTTTGAGATTTGGAATAGATGCCGATGAGATTGGGGAGGAGAACTAAGGGAGCTGGGTATGGTGGATGTTTGTTTGTTTATGTGATTTTGATTTGGTAGGTTATTGAGTTTTTAGATGCGTTTTATTAGTTCCGTTTTTATTAAGAATACGCCTAAGGCCTTGAAGTTTTCTAGTTTATTTTGTGGGTTTAGTATTGCTTCTAGAGTTAGAGCCTTGTTTAGATTGAGGGTGGTTTGTAATGCGGTTCGATGTGTTAGGTAGTGTGTGCAGTGGATGAGTGCGTGTTCTGGGGTTTCTGGTTGTTTGCAGTGTGGGCAGTTACCTGTAGTGTGTTTTTTAAATTTTTTTAGGTGGTTATTTAGGTTGGTGTGTCCTGTTTGGAGTTTAGTGATTACTCTGTCGATTTTTTTGGATGGATGGAGAATTTTTGGTTTGGTTAGTGGTTTGCTGAGCACTTTTTTGATTTGGCTATTTGAGTTTAGATATAGGTTATGCCATTTGTTGGTGATTTTTTGCTTGTTTACACTTTTAATTTCTGATTTTGAGATGGGTAAGTTTAAGCTTATTTCTGGGATTTTGAGGGATAGTTTAGCTGCTTTATCGGCGTTTTCATTACCGTATATTCCTACGTGGGCGGGTATCCACAAGAAGGTTATTTGTTTGCCTGCCTTAGTTAGGTCGTTGGAGCTTTTAAGTATTTGATTTATTAATTTAGGTCGGTTTTTGGTATTTTTGTTTTGGAGGGCTTGCAGTCCACTCAGGGAGTCGGTAAGTATTAGGATTTTTTTGTGTTTTTTGAGCAGCTGTTGTAACAAGTATATAACAATGTCATTCAAAGAAAAGGAATAACACAATAGGCATCCGGTGAGTTATCACTGCTGGAATCAAGACTTCTACCCACTCGTGTCAAACTAATCACCATTGACCACTCCAGCAGTCTAGACAGATGCCAGTGAACTGTTGTAGGTTCAATTATTTTACTGCCTTTGAACTACCTTAATACCAGTCAACAGAATAAACATGTAAACCGTGTGTTGCTTGGAAAACACTGTAAATTGACATCTGTCGTATCTAACACCCACCTATAAGTTGGTGTTGTTTGGCTAGGATATACTCAGTCTTGCAGATTGACTCCTCCAGGATTTCACATTCGTCCTTGCAGATCTGCCGTGGCCGTGGGTTGTTGGTGTTTGTGTCGCACAGAGGGAGGGAGTGGAAACACAGGGAGCGGATGGCGTACTCTTGGCATTTGGAGGACAGGTGGCTAGATGACCCAATCACAGCAAAGCCAGCTGGAACATACATAAAACAATAGTTCAACACACACCTTTCATATTTCCCCAGATTTTTGTTTGTTTGTTTGTTGTTTAATGCCACACTCAGCAATATTCCATCTTTATGATGGCGCTCTGTAAATAATCAAGTCTGGATCATTATATCCAGCGATTAACAGCATGAGCATCGATCCATGCAATTGGGATACGATCAAATGCATTAACCAAGTCTGAAGACCTATTCTACCCCGGATCTTCACGGTTCCATATTTCCCCAGAAATGACAAATACCTGACGAGCAAGCTTTTTTTCATTCATACACCTCTACAAAAAAACATATAATTTGACTGGTTCATATGAAGATATAAATGACATTATCATCACATACCTGCATATGTGACAAACTCTTATAGCTAAAGATTGTGCTGCCCAGACCAGTTACATGGACACATGTTGAGGTATAGAGTCACCTTCATGAGGCAGTAGCAGTATATCTAGTTTCCATGGTGTAATGTATAAGGAGCATTCGGCATCATGGGTGATAATAATGTACCTGCCAGGTGGCAGTCCAATATGTCATGCTGAGAGTATATCAAATAACATGCAAAGGCCGTTCTTTGTTTCAAGAGTCTGATGAGTGTGACCAACACTAGTGCGTGATGAAGAACCTAATGAGCAGCCCCCCACCACCACCAGTTATGCCCCTAGTGACACAACCTCAATGGCATCACACCCTAATCAGTTCTCGGCAAAATAATTAGGGTATTTCAAAAGACAGGTCCTGAGGGAACAGTTTTCAGAGCAGGCTGAAATTCCCCAGCCAGGGTGAAAGTTGAAGCAGGACACATAAATAAGCAGATAACACCAAGCACAGACAACCTGAGATAAGCAATCAAATTCATGAAATAGCAGCAAGTCTAATAGCTAAATCTTACAAAACTAAGCTCTCCAAACTGCCACAACATGAAGAAGTCGGGTATTTCTCAATCCACAGTCTTTATCAGTACATTATACTGTCTTTTTCAGCTGGTTAACCCAGCTGTACATGCAATACACTGCACCCAAGCCCCAAACGATGGAGTGCTAGTGGGCCTGCTCGAGGAGATTTAAGGTGCTGCCCCCTCCTGGCACTGCACCAGTGGATATTGGTAAGCAGGTGTCTATCTGTTTGTGGACATCAATCTCTGTCAAAGGGCTGTTATTCTGTCACTCCCTGTCACACACCAAACAGCTGCAGATATCTTTAATTAAACAACTAATTAATTACTTTGGTTACACCCCTTCTTACACAATACATTGTTCTGTTTGACAATTCGGCTTCAGATAGTAATGATGACATCATATCCTTAAAAATGAAATGTCTATGTTGTAGCTAATTCAAGAACTAGCTTCTACATAATGGTGCTGGAGCATTTACATCAGTACTATACAGAAATCTGTTTGTATCATGCATTACCCAGGTGGAACCATTTCATATCATGCACCACCCAAGAAGAAACATTTCATATCATATATTACCCAGAGACATTATGTGCCATCATTCATCCATACTGAAACATTCCATACCATACATGTATCATTCCAACTGATACTTCCATTCTAGGAATTATCACAAGCAAATTGCCAGGTCTTCAGCTAAAAGATAGAAAAGTATTTTAATTACCTATGAGTTTCTCTTCCTTGCGACTCTGTGTCAGTTTGGATGTGACATAAATGCTCATGTTTCCCACAAACTTGGAGCAGGTGCTCCCTCTGTAGATCTGGCAGAAGCCTGAGCCCTGATCCTCCTCCTTCTCCTCCCTGACAATACATGTAGGAGATGTCATCTCAGGCAAACCGTCACAGGTAGTACAGCAGCATGCACTTAACACAGTGGGACATACACAGTTTTACACACATAACATTTAAAGCATTAGACATAAAAGGTTCCATTCTCTGTTGCAGATCATCGAAAAGCAATTTGGCCCTAAAATTCAGATCATATCAAACTATTCCACTGCCAATTATAAAATTCATTACTCCCCTATGCTCGTTTCTTTTTTTCTAATGCAGATATTTGACCTGTGTCCCCTCAAACAGCTGTAGGAGGTTGGGCATGGTGGAGGTGTGAGGTGGGGGAGGGGTGTGGTCTCCAGCACCACATTAACACTATTGTATAGTCAACAGTAATTGCACTCATTAGTACACTAATCACTCACACATGGGCTGACTTAGTGTTGAACTAGCATCATGTAACTCTAATGCTCATAATTGATGTAATCCAGTCTGTGATTTATCATTTCAAAATGTAAACAATAGGCCTTGGGTGCTGGTCAATATATTTATGGAAGATAGTTTGTTGTTGTAGTGCAAATGTGATCTGCTATTTGAGCACATCAAGATGTTATCACTGTTGGGTAATGAGCAATCATTTATTTAGACCAGCCCTTGCCAAGCCTTGCCTCTGTAGTGGCAACTGTATCAACATATGAAACATAAACAGCACTGCCTAATAGTCCCCAACCTGTTTTTGATGGTATTCATTAAGGTGGGCGTTTCAAAGCCTCTTTGCAATTGCACTATGGTTTCAATCACCCCTGTATGGCTTAATACAACATGTGCCGGACATGGTAGTGCTGATGTGCTCATATTGTTGTACATCCATCCACTCTATGAAGGCAACAATACCCTTTTGCTTGGATGCCGTTCAGCTCAATTCTTACACAACCACTTACTAGCTTGAACGTATTCTGATAGTTAACTTTCACCACTGGAGAATAATGCTACACAATTTAAAGAAGATTTTCAAATATTTATTACACATCAAACATTGAAAATGTCATGTCAAAACCATTTACAGTGAAAAGGGCAAATTTGCTCTCCTATGTTAAGAATTATGACTAGAATGTACATGGGACGATAACCTTGTAACCGATATGGAACACTCTGTTTCCAATGCTCATGCACTTTGAAAACAGGAAAAAACTACCAGGATCTGGTGCTATCATAGCCAATCACCATACTCACTTTCCTGGCAGGAACTCAGAGTTGTATTTGCCGTTGAATCTGTTGAAAAAAACAGTAACCGATAAGAAAAGTGGAAACTTATGTCCTCCATTCTGCATTACTTCTTGCACTCCTCTTCAGCAGGAAGAAGACTGAGAAACAACCAAAATGTTTATTGTGACATCTCTTAAGTAATAGGAACCAGCAAATAGTTATCGGCATTTAAAGGAAAAAAGTGACACATTTAAACAACAGTTATATATTTGACATTTGGTGTGTGCATGTAGGCATTTTGGTACTGTTGTAAGGATCTCTGTTGCCTGACTGATAGACACAAGTAGCTTCTTTTCTTTAAGCACTCACTATACCTGACCTACTGAGTTAACAAAGGCTGTCTTTCTACTAACCGTAACTGTACAGTTCTACTAACTGTAACTTGCTACAATATTCCCCACTTATAAATAAAACCTATATTTGTCTTTATATTGACTTTTTCTTCTCCTCAAAATTCCATGTAGAAAAGTCCAATGTTTTATAAAAAGGTATATTTATTTCTTTGCAGGGTTCTCTGAATTCATACATATAAAATGGAAACTAATAATGAAAATATAATAAAAAGTCATATAGCAGACACCTTTTTATTTTCTATTCCTTTCGATCATTATTTTGGTCAGGTATTTACTGGTGATTATATAGCAGTTTTTTTGTTCTGCATTAATCTAAATAAATCTTTTATACCCGCATGCCGGCCTTTAACTACTTCTGCACTGTTTGAAAACTTACTCATCTCCATCTCCTGGGAGTTCTGCCTTGAAATCCACATCACCTGGCTTGACAGGGTTCTTCCCCCCTGAACTCGGTGGGTCTGGTGCAGGCTCTGCAACACACCACAGTATTGTTACTCAGGACTATCGGTGGTCATATGGTCAAAACACATATCAAATGAAGTAAACATCACCAGTCCGCTAAAATAGTCAAATGTTGCCAAAATAAAAGTATGAAATGTTACAAAGAAAGGTCATTTTTCATGGGCACAACTAGGTGTAAGCCCCCCCCCCCCCCCCCACGTTTCACCAAACACATATTTGACATTCATTCAAGAAACATCTATGAAACAAAGGAAATTTGTACATTAAAACAAATCAATAATATTACTTTTATGTGTTTGTACATGTTCATTCGTAGTGTGTGATGTTTATTTATTTTTTCATATCTTCATGTGAGCTGACCTATCATTATAACACAAAAAATTGTGAGAGCGGGGTTTGCTTTGTGACACTTACTCTTAAGGGCTCTATGCTAGCTTGAGTGAAATACTAGTAAGTGTAGTTATATAATTATACATACTAGTATTATTTCCTAAAAGTTTCATTACTTCATTACTGGTATCTCAGTGCAAGGTGAACTTAAAATACAACAAATGTTATTTTATATATATTTTTTAATTCAACTTTGAAATGAACGCTGGACACACCTTCTGACCTCAGTCACAACAATGAAATACACATTAAATACAAAGTCACTAATTCATCAACAAAAATACAGAATCTTGATCTTTGAATTTATCAAGTTACACAATAAATATCATGTTCAACCGTATAGAGTTTGAATTAATAACATATTGCAGAGATGGTAAATCAAGGTTTACATATTTTAAAAGAAAAGTTTTTACTATAAGTGAATAAAAATATTCTCATACAGTCATGCCCCGCTTATATGGACTTCAGATATCCAGAAACCTCAGTTCCCGGACGATTTTCATTCCTGAACCGGATGGTCATTCTCATACACAAAACACTGAAATGCTCACAAAATTGTCTCACTTACCCGGACAATACACTTCCGCTGGTGGTAATCCTTTGATTCGTGAGAAGTCAATTAACCAAGTGACACTGAGTTACGTTTGAGACGAGCTTGTTTATTGTACATGTAATCCCATTCGATAAATATGGCGTCTGCAAGCAAGTCAGCAACCATCAGTAAGCATTATGGCACTGAATTTGGACATACCATAGGAAAATCGACAATTGGTGACATTTTAAACATTTTTATTACGAGAACACAGGCGATCTGGACAATTTGGAATTATTGTTTCAAAATGTGGTAAAGTTTAAACTTCCATGACAGATTTTTGAAACGTGTATGTCTTGAATAAAGATTGAGTGGATGTTTCTGTTTGCTCTGTCATCTGTCATGAGTTGCATAATTGAAGGGAAGTAACTCTTCCAGTAAGAAGCTGGTTTTAGTTATACGGAAATTCGTTTATACGGACGAATTGTGAAATGACGCAAGTGTCTGTATAAACGAGGCACGACTGTATATATAAATGAGATACATATATAAGAAATTTTGAGGTAAGGACATGTGTAATGCCACACATACAATTTACATATCACACTGAAAATATTCCAAACTTTGTCTTTCCTCTCTGATGCAAAATGGTTTATCCTTAGAATTGGATAAGTGTGCCGATTTCAGCACAAAAATGTATGTACCGATAACTCATCAGATAAAAGACTTGGCTAGCAAAAATAAGAATCTGTTAGATGACACGTCTGTTGAAAACATCAAAATTGGACATATGTACAACCTTGTAGCCAAATGTGATATTCGTTTCAAAAGACTTTAGTTTTACAAATGTAAGGCAGTTAATCAGTTTGCATCTCAGTGTGGTCAGATGTGGATTTTTGTTTAAATGAGGATGGTATTTACACAAATCAAACCATTGCTGTCTGCTTTTATGTTTTTTTTATAACGATGTTGCCTTGCATGATTTATGACACAACTCGGAATAGCGACAGTGGTAGTATGGTAGAAGTTGCTATTGTTTACATTTTTAAACAAATACAACTACATGTAGAATGTGTTTTTATGCATAAATACATGTCTCCCCCCCCTCCTGTTTTTTATACAATCATACATTAGTTCAGTTATTACTATAAATGTGTTTGCAAATAAAAAAACAACAATAATAACAAAATATAACCTGGAAAGATAATGGTTTCATGCAGAAATATTCCTTTGCTGTAGAGTTTGACACTAAGCCAAAATTGTTTCCATGGAAACACAAGAAATTATAAAAAATATAAACAGAAAAATATGAAAAGACAATAGTTGAGCTTGTGGTCCTTGCACATGTATAGTTTCATACAAAAATATTCATTTGTTTGAGACTAATGGGCCGGAAACGAAGCCTAGAGTTGTTTCAGACTTGTCCAAATTGTTTCCATGGGTATGTTACAAAAGAAAGTTGAGCAAAATTTCAAATAGTAAAAGGCACCAGTTAAGCTGATGAGCAATGCATATGTCAAGTTTCATTGAAAAACACTGAACAGCTTTCAGGTTATGGCTCAGAATAGCATGGGAATGCCAATGCAAACGGCAACACCAATAGGAACCGAGCCCAAAACAGTATGTCTCCCCACCCTTTGGAGGAGAGACATAACAACATTAAGCACCTGTGTACCAATAATTTTCCAACTATCCATGAAACTTGATAGCTTTATATATTATTTCAATGGAGCAAAGATTATTTAAGAATTGACTTCAATATTATTATTTTTTATGGAGGTAATAAATAACGTAAAAACTGGTATGTACATTTCTTGTAAATAAATAAATCAACAATACTTACTTTACAGACTGCATATTTAATCATCAAGTGGATCTGGCCTCATTAGTTTTTATGTAAATTCAAATGCAAAAAACATTGCTTGGTTAGCCAATGAAATGTCCTTGAATCACTTGCACTATTTTGTCACATATACAGTGTTTGACGTTCTTATATGATACTTTACAGCAGCATACAGAGTTTTAAATGAGTTTTAAATGAAGTTATTTTTTACTCTCATCTTTTCACAAGATAATTTGACAAATGCACAACTTACTTTTGCTACAGCTGAATTAGTTCCCAGATCTTTCAGCCCGATGTCACTACAGAGATAGCTAACTTAAGCTGGATCTGACATCATATAACACCTATGGCAACTCCTAGTTTACATATTTTTCACAGCGTAGCTCCGTCTGGTGCTCTCACTCAGTGAAACAAGGACAACATATTATTACTCACAATAATATTAACTGACATACCTTTTTGTTAGTCATTTGACATGATGACTGAAAATTATGTTCAGATAAGGTTTCATTAACATAGTTTGCTCATTATTTTTCAATGCCTTTCTTCGAGATAAGTGAAGGCATTTTCAAAACATCCCGACGACCAGAGTTGCACTATAATGGCAACATGTATATGACATAACACAGTAGGAGCACAAGGAATGACGTAATAAATAAATGTGTTGTGCACCTCGGCACCGTGTTGCTCATTGCATGCATGTATCTTACACAGAAGAATACGCTGCTAGAATTTGGAATGTTGTCAAAATTGCAGCGCCATCGGGCATTCTTTATTGTGAATGTTGTCTTTAAGTGTTGATGTTTATGTGGACAGATGTTTTTCAGAACACATTGTTCTTTGTTGCATATGGAGTCTGTTCATTGTTACCTGTATGATATATCGGCGTTGTTCATTGACATTTGTTTTGTATTTCGAACTTCATTAATCATTTTTCATATCATTAATGACCCTTATTTGCAACATTTGACTATTGTTGCGCACTGGTGATCTCTATTTCAATTGATGTATTTCTTCACCAAATGGCCACACCCAAACAGGACCATGCAAACAGGATGGTGAGAGGTGGAATCGCAAACACTGTTATTTGTGGGTATATATACAAGCATGAAAGGCACAAGGTGTGAAGTGAAGCAAATTATTGAAATAAAGATACCAATTCAAGGCTGTTACCACTGACTGTCTCACCTCAACAAACACTTAAGGGCCACATTCTGTCACTGAAGTTATTGTATTTAAGAACTGACCAATCAATATTTTTCATGTTTACAGAGGTATAAACAAAAACACCAATGTGAATGCAAAGTGTCAATTCTCATAAATAAATACATCAACAATAATAACTTCACAGACTTATACGAAATCAGTAACATCATTCAGCACAAATAAGCAACATAAGCCCAGTCACCCTATTATCAGCCAATAAGGAATAAGTAGTCCTCAAGTGGGTGTGCCCTAATCTTTTATTTGATTGATGGAAGCATAAACACACAAAAAAATTGCTTGCTCAGCCAATCAAATGACACGTTGTCACTTACAGTTTATTCATCAGTATGTTTGACAGTTAATTATTATATGACTTGAGATGCAAATGCTAGAGTAGCTGATACTTACCATTGCGGACAGCAAGGACACCAGTTGTCTCTTCTTGTCCAAAGCTGTTTGATGCTCTGCATGTGTAGAAGCCAGTATCAATTGTGTCCAGGTTTGAAATGCGCAGTCTGAAACATCACATACCTCTCAGTGAAACTTTTCTGGAAAACAATTTACAAATAGCGACTATTGCTGCCGATGTGTAAACTGAGCACTGCATGCCTCTACTGTATCCCTAAGTGGTGACACTGCCTGCAGTGGTGTCAACCTATATCTGACTGGCACACAATGTGACAGCTAAAAATGATTCAGAAGTGTTGGTGTTTGCATGGCTTGATACCATCACCATAAAGAACATGTAATTGCATTGGCATCATTGGATGAGGAGTGCACTGAGGATTCCTGGAATGGTAACCTATTCAAACATTATCCTCACTTGGGTAAATGTTTGAAATTAATACTGGTTTTATAACCAAAGACCAAGATCATTCCAGTCTGAGAATTGAAGGAATTTCACTTGTAAAAAGCTGTGAAGCGATATGTTATTACACTGCGCACACCCCAGCTTAATTGAGGGTAAACAATTTGCAGGTGAAACAACATTGGGTGTGTGGAAAATATCACTGGTGCTGCACACGACAGTGAGGCTGTGGATGGCGGCTGCATCCAACTACCCTGTATGTGAAGACTGGCTGTGTTTACACTAGTCTGGCGGATCCACCTGCCTTGTCGGTCTATGCACTTGCAGTAACCTCCATGTCCCTACCCCTGGTCTCTACCCTAGCTCAGCTTGCTGCAGACCAGCTAGCCCTGTTTGTGGTCTCATGCTAATTGGTTTCCTTCATAAATACATGTTATTTTCTATATCAAATATCCATATTTATTTATACTGATTTCTGCACTTCATCAGCCACAGTTTGGGGCAGGAAATGGGAGATAAATATGGTTATAAAAGTGTTTTCAAAATCCAGGACATGTTGTTACTAAAAAAATAATATTAGTGTGAACAAGTCATCAGTTTTAGAACATTTCAAATTTCAGAAAGGAATATTAACTTTCAACGAATGATTTGTATTATGGGGACATTTCAGCGATACTGAAATAAAGTTTGGAACGCTATTTGTTTTATGATTAGCTCCCAAGCATGTGTACCTCAAGATTGGAGTATTTCCACTTTGTATGAAGTCTCCTTCCAATGGAGAACCTTCTCTCTTATCACCAGGACTGATAACAAATGACATGTGGTTTTTATAAGTGTGAGTTTAAAACCAAAACTTATCAATTTTCTGTCAAGGGGAGTTTTCAAAAGGGAAGAGTGATGATGAAACGTGACCCGTGGAAGTGTTTGCCTGAGTCTGCTTCAACAATGAATGTGCTTGGTGATAAAACTGTTGATCCTGGCTAGTTACAGGGGAAGTGACAATACTTCTCCCCTCAATAAACCATCTTTAAACTCCTATATGTGTCTATTGTTTGTTGTTCCTCTATCTCCGGGTTATCTGTGGGGCAATGTAATCAAAGAGACATGTAAGACACTGCAGTTTGCCTATCTACCATAATCTAGCTATGCCTCTCCTTGATGTTGGAAAGATGTAGAGAAGAGACATGGAATATTTGGTCATTGAAGGCAATTCACTGGTCACCTAAAGCTTAACTTCAACAGAGAAAAACATGTCCCCGACAGCCTCACTTCAACAGAACAAATAATCAGAACACACACAGTGTGACATCCTAGCTTCAACAGAACCAGTTAACAGAACACACACGGTGTGACAGCCTCGCTTCAACAGAACCAGTTAACAGAACACACGGTGTGACAGCCTCGCTTCAACAGAACCAGTTAACAGAACACACGGTGTGACAGCCTCGCTTCAACAGAACAAATAATCAGAACACACACAGTGTGACATCCTAGCTTCAACAGAACCAGTTAACAGAACACACACGGTGTGACAGCCTCGCTTCAACAGAACCAGTTAACAGAACACACGGTGTGACAGCCTCGCTTCAACAGAACCAGTTAACTGAACACACACGGTGTGACAGCCTCGCTTCAACAGAACCAGTCAACTGAACACACACGGTGTGACAGCCTCGCTTCAACAGAACCAGTTAACAGAACACACACGGTGTGACAGCCTCGTTTCAACAGAGCCAGTCAACTAAACACACACGGTGTGACAGCCTCGCTTCAACAGAACCAGTTAACAGAACACATGGTGTGACAGCCTCGCTTCAACAGAACCAGTTAACAGAACACACGGTGTGACAGCCTCGCTTCAACAGAGCCAGTCAACTGAACACACACGGTGTGACAGCCTCGCTTCAACAGAACCAGTTAACAGAACACACGGTGTGACAGCCTAGCTTCAACAGAACCAGTTAACAGAACACACGGTGTGACAGCCTAGCTTCAACAGAACCAGTCAACTGAACACACGGTGTGACAGCCTAGCTTCAACAGAATCAGTTAACAGAACACACACGGTGTGACAGCCTCACTTCAACAGAACCAGTTAACAGAACACACACGGTGTGACAGCCTTGCTTCAACAGAACCAGCTAACAGAACACACATGGTGTGACAGCCTCGCTTCAACAGAACCAGTTAACAGAACACACACGGTGTGACAGCCTCGCTTCAACAGAACCAGTTAACAGAACACACACGGTGTCACAGCCTCGCTTCAACAGAACCAGTCAACTGAACACACACAGTGTGACAGCCTCGCATCAACAGAACCAGTTAACAGAACACACAGTGTGACAGCCTCGCTTCAACAGAACCAGTTAACAGAACACATGGTGTGACAGCCTCCCTTCAACAGAACCAGTTTAATGAAAACACGGTGTGACAGCCTAGCTTCAACAGAACCAGTTAACAGAACACACACGGTGTGACAGCCTCGCTTCAACAGAACCAGTTAACTGAACACATGGTGTGACAGCCTAGCTTCAACAGAACCAGTCAACTGAACACACGGTGTGACAGCCTAGCTTCAACAGAACCAGTTAACAGAACACACATGGTGTGACAGCCTCGCTTCAACAGAACAAATAATCAGAACACACACACAGTGTGACAGCCTAGCTTCAACAGAACCAGTTAACTGAACACACAGGGTGTGACAGCCTTACTTCAACAGAACCAGTCAACTGACACACATGGTGTGACAGCCTTACTTCAAAAGAACCAGTCAACTGTACACACAGGTTGTGACAGCCTTACTTCAAAAGAACAACTGAACTCTCACGGTCAAATAATTGCACTCCAACATAGTGAAATATGATATTAGGGTTGTCATGAGGGTTGATATGGACTTCTGCACATATGTTTTAACTCTGTATCATTTTCAAAAAGTAATATTTAATATGTTTTACAATAATTCAAATTGGAAACTACTTGGGCTTTGTTCCATGATTACTTGTCACAAAACAAAATGCTGATTCCCATTGCACAAAGAAATGGCACAACAAACCTAAATTAACCACTGTAGCGTTAAACATTAACTGGTGACCAACATCTCTTGCTACAAAAAGTGACATGATAATGTAAGACCTAGTGCCCAAGTTGACACACTTTGGGAGTCGAAATTCAGAATTATAAATACAAAAATGGATGCGAAAGTGCCATTTTCAATATGGTTGCCATGCTTAAAATCATATCAGAATTCTAGTAGTATGTTAAGAGGTGGCACTGCTGGGATCTTTTGCTTGATATGTTCAGGGGGAACTGTCAAATGTGCATAATGTACAGGGGTATGCACCCATGAATGTTTTAAAGTCAACTGGTAATCTTTAGAGAATTTGTAAACTTTAACTGGGACTATTGACACCTAATTCCTACACACCATGATTTCTAAGGAGATGTTCAAAACACAGGAAAAGTACATAAACAGGTGTGTCATGAAAGTCATAGGTAAAAAAGCACAAAATATGCCAAAAGACAAGATATCTAATTGTGAATTCCATTGAAACAAGCACAAATGGAGAACATTCCTATAAATTGTCTTCAAGAACATTTCAAAGAAAGCGTTGCTTGGAAAATGAGGAGAACATGGAAAAGTGTTTGCCAGGTATGTGCTGGGTCGACAATGCATCACAAGAGAGGATCACTAGAACCTCAGGTTCAGGTGAGCTAGAATCCTAATAATTGAGATATCTCAAGAAAACGTTACTCATCAGTTACTGCCACATTATAGACAAGTTTTGTATTGCTACATGACCTCGTCATACAATACACAACAGACATTATGATCTCCCATACCTGAATGATTACTTTTGTGAAAGGATTCTGGGAATGCTAAGAGTATCCAGTTTTAGCTACGGCACACCTTTCATCACTGGCCATGGGCTTGCTATGAACAGCATCCATGACCTCCTCTATCAGATATGTACAACATCTGATACGTCTTTTAGCAAAACATCTTCCTTACAGTCAACTCAATCATTGCTGGAGATATTTTAGTTTTTAAGTTACATAACTGATGCAGACTAAAGCAAAGTCTTGACCTCTTTGCTGTAACTTATACATCTGAAAATCATAATAAATTAGGCACCTTTTCAATGCAGTCCCTGTGGACTGGGAGACATAACCTCAGCTTGCCTCAGGAACAATCTAGCTCAGATATACTACTCTAACAAAATGATACTGCTTGACATTCTTGATATGGAGGCATCTTGCTGGGAACTGTCTGTGGACAGGCTAACCATTCAGTAATTTAATTCTGGTGAGATGATTTGTATCACAGTAAAGACTTACATTCAGATCAAAGTCAGTGTAATTGCAAGCTCCCAGTTTACCCAAAACTGATGAATCTTTATAAAATGAAAAAGATTATTACGTACAAAGAAGACTCATTGATAAGACTGAAGTCAGCTGAAGCTGCGGCAACAACAGAGGATGCTTGCCTATCAGAGGAAGCATCCTTCTTGTGAAACACACCAGATTCATATACATCACCTTTTTAATTAAAATGAAAAAAAAGGAATTTAATCAGAAAAAAACTTTACACTTAAGAAGTTTATTTATTCTGAATTGGCAGTGACACTAATTTGCAATTCATCTCCTGCATAAGTGGCAAAGAGTTGTGACCATTTGAGTGAAGAAGATGAGTGGAGATGAAGAGCTAACTATGTGTCTGTAGCAGGCTTTGTTGTGAGCCAACCAGCAGCATGTAAACTGTCAAGTCTGTGTTTGACAAAGGATCAACAACTCTGCTGAGATTAATTATTGCACAATCAGAATGAGACAGGAACTGGTAAACCTAAGAGCAGGCTGTTAGAGGTAATGGCAACATTTTTTATGGCAACATTTTTCATGGCAACCAGTAATTAACTTACAGTACTATATGATACAAGCCTTCTGGTCGAGTCGGGCATGCTTTAATTTGATTGAACAAGGTGAAGAATGTCAATTGGAAGACACATCGGCAGATTATCCCATCTGCAAAATATCTGTGAGGAAGGACAGATTGCACGACAGTTATTTCTGATACTTTCTAAGCAATGCTTTAATTGAAACATGCTGACTTAATAAATATCCTGGCATGAAGACAGGACAAGTTTTCCAAACAATTTAGACCATCACTCATAAATATATCCCAGTTTTACACGCCAGCATGCCAGGATATAGTCTCAAGGCAGGAAGCCATACATAACTTTCCCTACATTTTCTGGTGCTATTTGTATATTTTTATCTTTTTTTAAAATGTAACAAACATAGATGCTATGGTTTGAATGTAACGTGTGTTGAGGAAGCAGGACTGACTGCCCTGCACAGGAGATGTCATCACACAGGTTAGAGAAACACTCAATATTATGACTTGAATGTTCACTAGCTTGCAGGCATGCCATCTGTACAGCTGCCTACTCTACACTACATACTTAATCTCCATTTAGTATATCCAGTCTGAACAAACGCATCTCGTTGCTTGTAAACACACCTAATAGTCTGGCACAAAGCAAAGCAAATTACCACTGGAGAAAGTTGGACACATGAAATGGCCAGTGAGCCATGTGCAGCCCAAAGGGATCTGGCTTTTGGAGAGTTATGTGCAAGCTGGCTCTTCACTGTATAAGGAATGTTTTCTCCAATACTAACAGTGCACCTATCTGAGATGGCAAGAGTGCCAAAGAGCTCTCTCTTAATTGTCATCTAGGATTTATACACAATGAATAAGTGCACAGCATGTCTTGTACTATCAACATTCCTAATTAAATTCACTTTTCCATTTCTGAGAAGTACACAACATTAGGACTAATGGTATAGATGCAGTGATATCAGCTTAGTGTGGGTTGACGCACAGGTTTCCATGCATCCAATAATGGGGAGTTGCAGTCAATCATACCATCTGGCTGGGCTTAACCACACCAACCCCATTAGCAAAGCCAGCTTATGCCCAATATATTTTCAATCTCAAACTCCAATATCAAAGGTTCAAAACTTGTCTGTACATGTTTGTATTAAATACAACTGAATGAGGGAAAAAAATAACTTCTGTTTACTTTTTCCCCCACTAAACACACTTTCCAAGTACAGTAAAATATGTGCAAGCTGGCCATACCTGCTTCCCCAAGCTGTCCTGCGCACATTGAAGCGGCCTTTTTCATCATCATCATTGATTGGTGCATTGTTCTTGAACCAAGCATACTTGGGTATTGGGTAGCCTGTGATCTCACATCTGAGGCGTACAGACTGGCCCTTGTACTTGGTCACATTGCGCATCTCTATGTCCAGCTGGACGTGCCCCTGGCCTGGAAGGAACAAACAAATCTGCACTTAGTCACACACAGCGGAAACAACATTTCTTGTAAACTTATGAATTTATTTAAAGATCTCATGCTAAAATTAAGAAAATCAATATTAACTGTTTCACATAGTGCATATAGGTTCTCCTTTCCATACCCTCTACCCTTGACATTGCCACATTGATGCTTCCTGAAGAGTAGTGTCATGTGCTGTACCCCATGAGATGAGACCTGTTGTGCTGAGGCACTAGGAGCCCAGCATGCCCTGTGTATTGTTACTGAAGCTGCAGGTGGCTGTGTTGTGCAGGCTACAGCCATCAAGCACAAAACTCATCCGTATCAGCTGTATCATATCCCAGCGAATTAAGACAAATGACCAGTCATCCAAACTCATGCTCACAATCACCTCTCTCTACAAATATACCTCACTGTTTAGAAAGCCCTCATTAAAAACACTGTGATCATCACCTGCACATAGCAAATGTGAAAGGGGAAATCTCAAATGAAATGAACATTTGTTATCCAAAATCAAATTTGGATTGCACAAGTAAATATTGTGTAATTTGTAGCTCACATCCTATGGTGGGATTTAGCAGCACCCACAGGACCAAATGTGATGACATTTACTTGAAGTCTCTGTTTGTTGATGCATACACCAACAATAGCAAGACCAATTAAATCAAATACCAGACAGCTGGAACAGCCAAAAAACTCTGTGTCAACTTTGTTTTTTTCTCTTTGTGCATGAGGGAGGAAAGGTAAAACAGTGAGCATCTTCCCATGTGGAAGGGCTCCCAGCAGCCAATGTATCAACTCATGTGTGCCAACACCCAACACAATGGGAATGCTCACACTAATTGAGTGGAATGTCCATACAAAGCAAAGTTCAAATGCCAGGAGCACCTGAAGCATGGTTATGGAAGTTGTAATGTTACCAGCATGTGAACTTGCTAGCTTAGCATCTCTCTTTTTAGGCCGTCTGCTCCAACATTACCTCTTCATACCACTGACTTTCTGGTACACACCACTGTATGATGATATTCTTCCTTCTAATGTTCTGATGTCTTTACAAACCATGTTGAACTTTCAAAACATCAAGGTGTATATGTTTGAATTAAATGTTGTATCACTTGCTATTCTATTGCTGGTGTTCTGTTTAATTACATGTTGCCATTGGTTGATTGAGTGCACTTCTTACAGACCATAGAAAGCATGTGAGACATTACAAGTTCTCTTCTGTATGTCTTGTCAACTGCTTTGTTGAAACAGACAACAAGGCTGGACCCTACTCAAGGTCCCAGGATGTGGCTGGAAGTTAATTATTTCAGCAACACACATTACCAGTGTTGTGGCTGGAAGAACCCAGGAGGTGCAGATGCATATGGTCCTGAAGGTTAGGGAACGTCCCAGGAAAGGTCAGACTGTCATGACCATGCTCATGCTGATGATGACAGCCTGATGGACTGCTGCCACACTGTGAACTTCCTCCACACACTGCAAACTCTTTGGAGTCGGTGGTGCTGGACATTGAAGCTATTGGGGGTGGGTGCAATGTGAGCAGCTTGTGTGCATCACTGTTGGCAGTAATCTAACCATGTCCCCTGAGCAGGTACACAAGTATGTGATCATCTCCTGCCACGTGGTCCACACACATCTCTGGAGACAGGCCAGGCCAGGCACGGGCCTTATGCTGCTACACATTGCACAATCACACAAGTTTACACACACGGATAAAGCAGGTTGATGGCACATGACATTTACCCCTTCCCTACACATGCAACTGTTATAGCTACACATGTTAACTTTCAGTTACATTAAGTACTGATGACATTGAGAAATCACACTCTAATACAACAGCAGCAAGGAATGTCAGGAAAACACACTAAAACACAGCAGCACGTGAAAGTCATGATCACTGGGCCAATCACACTCCTATACAACTACAACAAGTAAAAGTCAGGAAATCACTGGGGCAATCACACTCTTATACAACTACAACAAGTAAAAGTCAGGAAATCACTGGGCCAATCACACTCCTATACAACTACAACAAGTAAAAGTCAGGAAATCACTGGGCCAATCACACTCCTATACAACTACAACAAGTAAAAGTCAGGAAATCACTGGGCCAATCACACTCCTATACAACTACAACAAGTAAAAGTCAGGAAATCACTGGGCCAATCACACTCCTATACAACTACAACAAGTAAAAGTCAGGAAATCACTGGGCCAATCACATTCTTATACAACTGCAACACATGAAAATCTGGAAATCTCTGGGCTGATCACACTCTTATACAACTGCAACACATGAAAATCTGGAAATCTCTGGGCCGATCACACAGCAAGTTTTATGTCCTCTAACCAAACTATTATATTACAACCATAAATCTGTGAAGAGATAAATGAAAAGTTATGATTTGCGTCATGGCTATATGAACAAACATCATGGAGGCCGTTTGTAGCAACAGCGCACAGCCTGGTTTCTAAAGTCAACATTGGCAGAGACCTAGTGGGTCCTGCTCCATTAGCCCAAGCAAGAAGCAACATTAACCCATCAGAGGAAGGCATGCAGAATGGTGTTTATGAACAAGGTTATTTCCACACAGGATTGCAGGCCTTGTAATTAGAGCTGTCAAACAAGTCACATCCCATAATGTATTTATCATACATGCAGGTGTGTGTGTACAGGCATTCTCTAGTATGAGAAATGGAGGTATCAATACTCAGCATTTGCACCTATTTTCAACACTCATATCAATTTGCATGTGGTGATATAATGGTGATTCAGGCATGGTATGACATGTAGTATTCCTCATGGTTCAACATAGTACACTGAGACACTACACTTCTTCCATCACTGTAACTGTGACACTTACATGATTGATTATTCCTGCAACAGGCAGATCAGCATACATATGTACCAGAGCCTGTTGACATCTCAGAGGGATGGAGCTTCCTCTTATTAGCAAAGTTGTTAGCTATGGTGAATTAGGATGCAACTAGCCACCAGCTTAGTTTTCATGCCATGATGATGCCACCATTTGGCAGGATCTTATCAGACAGGACGGAATGGGATTAATTTGTCTTGAAATAGGTCCTAAGATGTGGCGCCATTCTACAAGCCAGGCAGGTTGCGGAAGAAAAGATTCTCTAAATTTATTTCTTAGCAAGACCAACTTAATTTCTAAAACACTGATCAATTGCAAGTGTCATGGTGGGCAGATGCATGACAATATTATCAATGTATTACATTGCCTTTATCTGCTAATTTCAAAGATTGGTGATTGTGGGGTAGGAGGTGAAGAAACCAGGCTGTTTGCCTTGTTACAAAGTTCTAGCTGTAAGTCAGGCCAAGCATTCATTATTATCTCCTAAACAAATTTAATTAAGGAGACACTGATTGAGGTTTTTAAACTGGCTTGCTTTGGATAAAAAATTAGCTTTGAAATTAAACATGCCGTTTGAAAGGTGTTTTATCAAAAAGAATGGGTGCTGGCTAGAAATTCAGTGTGTGTTATATAACTGAAAAAAACTTTCTTATAGAAAACTATTGGTGGACACATGAATGTCAAATCATGATCCACCTCATATGAATATACTTGTAAGGCCAGACCAATTTTCTTTCATGTATTAAAGATAAGTGTACACGCTTCAGTATAATATGTATAGTCCACACTTGAGTGTGATTGGCACTCCCATTCTTGGGTACAAGTTTGGGGATAAATTGCTACACCACATATAGTCCGCAGCAGACATTGCAACGCTTCAGGTGAATAAATAGGATATGACAAATGTGGCCAATGAAAATGTGAAATTTGTGATAAAACATCCCTAGACATGATTTACAATTTCAGTTTTTACTGTGTCCTAGGCATGTTCAGAGACTGTAACTTGCTTGTAAAATACGCCAGATAGAAAGAAATTGTACCTGAAACCATCATTTTACCGCAAATAAAAAATTCTAATTTGTTATTTTAGATGCCGCTATCACTAAATGCATCTAAAAAAAAATGTATATTAAACCCAACTCACTCACTCAATCACTACCACTCTAACACTTTGTCATATATCGTTTTACATGGGAGTAGAAATCGTTGGTCACCCACAGTAGTTACAAATAATTGCTCACAGCATCTCCCTAATGCTTTGCTTTGAATATCAGGTACTGGTGAGAGTAGCACATCCTCACTATATGTCAATGTTTGGTTGTCAGCATAATATCATAGGGAATGCAAACAACAGAAAAGCAAGTTATCACATTCCATGAAACTCCCTATACCATGTGTATTACCTGTGTAGCTTATCTAAGATATTGTATTATGGACCACACATCTCCATGCAGGTTGTTACATACACCGCTGTCTGCAGACACGACTGACCAGAGGTTGCCTGCAGATCAACTAGCAGGACAGACCAGCTAAATACTGGCAGACATCTTTCACAAATAGACAAGATGGTATCATGGGGAGGGTATTAATGACTTCTGTTTAGAAACACATGAGTTCCATGGTGTTCTCTCCTTACAAGATATGCAGTCAACAGGCTCCAGAAACTAATTACATAATGAAAACAACTGAAATATAACCTTCAGGTAGATTCGCATGTTGTCTAATTCTGAATAGTTTGGTATTGTTTGTATTAAACATCAATAACATTACGCAATGAATGATCTTAGCTTATATCAAGTAAACCATTGCATACTAATGATTGTTAGGTGTTAATGCTAGATTTACAATGACAAATTATATTCAGTCATTTATGTTGTTTTACATTGTCAATGTGGCTGGTATTTTGGTAAAGTCTCTGCACATGGCAGCTCTTGTGGCAGGCCAAGATGAAAGGCTGTAAGGCTGCTGTCCCTTACTGGGTGGAGAGGCCTCCGGCAGGCTGGGAGGAGAGGAGGAGGGAGGTATCGCCATCACTCAGCCAGCCAGACTGCTGGGGGACAGGCACACTGCAGTGATAAGCTATGATAATTCCCGATAGGTGGGGGCACCTGC